AACTGTAAATATCATGTTATTGTAGGACATGATATTTACCCCCGCTCCAAGGTGTCCTGGTTTTCCCAAATGAAAATATGGTCACCCTATCCCACACATGTGCGAAAATGTCTCACTCCAACAGTGCTGGTGTGTCTGGAGGGCAATATATTTTACCATCTTCCAGAAGTTATCACACAGAGACAAATGCCTGTGACCAAAAATGATATAACATCTAAATATTTAATAAAGTGGCCATATTTGTCAAGAGTTCACATACCATTTCTAAATGCTGAAGCTGATCTGTTAATTGGTACCAATGCTCCGAGGATATTAGAACCTTGGGAGGTCATCAAGATAAGGGCCCATATGCTGTTATGTGTAAATAACAATAAAATAGGTCTCAACAAACTAAATTGTAATTTTAACCAAGTCACATGCAGGCAAGATTTATGCTTGATTTAACGATAAACTCAGGACTAAACTAAAAATAAAAAAAGGAGCGCTTTTCCATGAGATGTGTTTTTTTTGCTGCATCTTTTAGAATACCCTAATTTGTATCCAACAACTGAAACTTTAATCCAGTTTAATCTAATGGAAAATGTGTTTCAACACAGCAATAAATATCTACCAGCAGAAGGTGAGAGTTACTTTGATTCACTCACTGTATCAGAAATCTAGATGATTAAAATCTTTAAACTGATTTTGCAATCAGTTATAAAAGTAACACTTTATCGCTTCCTAATCCTACAAAACTGCAAGAAAAATGTGGACTTTAAAGTTTAGGGATGACCGATGCATTTCCATTAGCATGAGTCTTTTTTTTTTCTGGATTGGTCCGATAAAATAAAAGGCTTTTATATTTAAAACTGGGTTGACAAATTTATCGATAACCAATATCAATCAAAACTATGCATCGCAGATTTTCCCTCACCATATGGAAACTGAAAAAATAAAATGACCAAAACCCACAATACTTTGGTGTATCATCATTAAAATAAATTGATCAAGCTCCTCCCCTTACCTTCCTGAAACACAAACACAGACCAGATGGAAACATTTGTTGTTAATGTCCGACCAGTTAAACTACTACATTTTCAAATGACCAACATTAGTCGGTACTGAAGTTATCACAGTAATATCCAATCCTGTTAAAAACATGTTCTTTAATTTTCCACACATCAATACATCACTTGAAATTTGTGTCGAATTAGAGGCCCACAGGCTGAATCTGGCCTGCCAGTTCACTTTATGTGGCCCTCAAAAGCAAAAAATAAGGCTCATTATCTCAGAGAGATGCGTGTTCTTTTCAAGTAAAACTGCTATGGGAGTAAAGTTAATAATACCCAGGCAGTGTGCTCTTAGGTTTCATTTATTGAGCATCAATGGGCCCTTTTTAAAAGACTTGATGCTATAGTGAGCCGATTTAAATTTGAGTTTGACACCGCTGCCTTAAATGGTTACAGAGAAATGATAGGAGGATGGAGCAAACAGACAGTTTATAAAACTATCTGCAATTTGGAAGGGAAGAATTGTTTTCTTTTCTACTCAATACTGTGATTTTATTTCCATTTTTCTTTGCACCAACCTCAAGCATGTAGATGTTTGACCTTTTCATAACATCGAAGTTGATTGTTGTAGGACTAACTATCGTTTCTTCTGTGAGGAAAAGTTCTTCTTTTATGCTAGATCGGGGAAACTGTCCAACTTACCTGCTCAAATGAAACACTTATTTTGAGAAAAATTGACTTAGATTTCAGTTTTTTGCAGTGTGCAACAGGAATGTTAGCAGGGTCTCTGCTTTAACACACCGGAATCAAATAATTAGGTCTTTAGCAGGAATCTGAAGAACTCTGCTGTGTTCAAATTCAGCACCTGTGTCCTCCGAAGGCCAGATTCGTTGGTTAATGACCTCATAGTCAGTGATGGGAGTAACAGCGTTGAAAGTAACAGCGTTACTAATGCTGTTACCCTTTTTTAGTAATGAGTAATCTAACTAATTATATATATTGTATGAAATTGTGTTCTATCAAACTAGTCCTATAGTCACTCTATTACAGATGGAGTCATGTAACGAAATTAATTTCTCCCTGGGATTATTAAAGTATTTCTGATTCTGATTCCTGGTTGATGGGACAGGTGTTGTGAATGAAACGGCGCCCAGGTTTGAAAGAGCTGCTGTGTGTCGCTGAATGTGTGCATTGATGACTGAAAGACATCTTCTGCTTTCATTTATCTGTTTACTACAGCGTGTTGAATTCATGTTAATGTGTATTTAAAGGCATTTTAATTAGTGCAAAAAATTGCAGGAGGGAATATAAAAAAAAGTAATCAACCAAGACTTTCGCGACTCCCATGCAGTACCTCCGTGGACTCCCTAGGGGTCGCGGACCCCCTGTTGAAGTCCTCTGGCTTAGGGTATCCAATAATTCATTGCTGTCCAATCAAGCTGGCTGCTCCGTGCTCAGAGGAAAAAGGCAAATGGCAAACAGCAGTGAATGCTATAAGTGCAGTTTAACAATATGCAATGTTAATAATTTCTTCTTAAATGAAAGAAAATATTTGTTTTAAATGTTATTGAGTCAGATGGAGCGGGTAATGCTTGGTTTATTGAAAGGCTTTATCCGTCCCTGTGCTGACATTTAAGTTCAGATTCCAGTACCTCTGCAGTGTGGGGACTATAAACCTGATAGCTGCTGCTGACACTCAATGAACTCAAGAACAGTAGTGAGAAGTTCAGCATCCATTCTTTGCCTCTTTGTGTGTCAACTGTCACAGTTGCTAGGCGACAGAGGGTACACTGAGAGAGGTGAAAGCCAGAGAAGGCCTGGGCTGTTTGAANTGAGAGAGGTGAAAGCCAGAGAAGGCCTGGGCTGTTTGAAGCTATTGCTGAACTCTTCCAGTCTTCTTATTTTCACAGCCTTTGAAGGACCCAGCCCAGGTAGGTTGGGACCTTCAGGGGACACAGCTGCCGGAATCTAACAGACTTGTACTGAGGAGGTGATTAATCCATTTGATTCTTGTTTTGGAGCAGGGAGATGTCTATCCCCAAAGTAGCTGCCCACTCCACTCCATTCCAGACTGCATGTGCAAAGCAAAGCCTACAGCCTCCGTGGTTCCTCCCATCTTGCTCCGCTCAGACTTTCTTGGAGCTTGTGACTGGATTTGATTAAGATTTTAAGCCTGTTAGTTTAAAATAATGCATTTTGATGGAGATGAGAACTCTGCTTCCTGGTATGCTGGAGTACCGATAGTTTGCATACAATAATTTAAATAAACGGTCTTAGTTGTTGGGGAATACATAAGAATAATGCTCTAAAGCAGGGGTCTTCAATGTTTTCCAGGCCAAGGACCCCCAAACTGATGGCGAGATGGCGGAAGGACCCCCTGATTATATATAGTATGAAATTGTGTTATATGAAACTGGTCCTATAGTCACTCTATTACAGATCAAGTTAAGTACCGGAGGTAATTCCTCCCTGGTATTATTAACGTACTTCTGATTCCTGGTACTTCTGCCTCCATTTATCTGTTTACTACAGTCTGTTGAATTCATGTTAATGTGGATTTAAAGACATTTCAATTAGTGGAAAAAATTACAGGGGGGAATATATATTGAAAAAAAAAAAAAAGTCTAATCAACCAAAACTTTTGCGACCCCCAAGCATTACCTCCATGCAGTCCAGATCTTGACCTGGCCAGACTAGAGCTAAAAATTGCCCAGCTCCGTATTTTGGTGATGAAGGACGGGGAAGACGTATGTGGACGGTGACATGCAGAGGAGCACCGGATGTGGAACAGTTCTCATTGATCAGCATGACAACGGAAGTGCTCCGTAGGACGTATGTGATCGGGGTGGAGCAGTGATGGAAGATGTGGAATCTGGATGGATCTAGTTTCTAGATCCATCTAGATGGGTCTAGTTTAACATCCCTAGATTACAGCCTGCTGGAAAATAACTACATTAAAAAAAAGTTACACATCGGCTAAAGCCCTCCATGATGAGCCGCCCCTAAACAAATGCAGGTCATTAGCATAGATATAAACATTTAATAAAAAAAAAAAAAACAATCCTTTTCTAGTTAATGTTACTAAAACTGTTGACTGTTTTCTAACTTTGCTTCTATTCCAAATGCAGTCAATGACCCTGTTCTACTGTTTGGATGCTGAAACAACAACAGATCTTAACAGGTGGACAAGTTTGATTTGTTCTTTATTTAACAAATGAAGCAGGCGAGTCTGGGGAACCACAGCGTAGTGAATCTGGCTTTAACCTAAAGGGAGTTTTTATTCAAGTCTAGTTGTTAAAATTCTGGAGGATCTGAGTGGTAGGTAATTTTACAAATTAAAACTAGATTGAAGTCAGATAGAGTCAGTGTAAACCAGGGTGGATCCGGTGGATTATCAGCTTACTGCAGCTTCTGGAACGTTGGCCATGTGGATCGAGGGTTTTATATGGAGCGCGTTTAATAAAGCATCAAAAAGCACCAGGAGAGAAGTGGAACTCAGCTGCTAGGAGGAGGGTCCTCTGGGTCTGTACATGTGTAGAAACCCCCCATACTTGTAGCTTAGCCTTGGGTAATAATCAGACTGCAGGAATCTAAACTTTGCAAATTAGCACTCATACTGATTACAAAGATTTGTTAAAATAAATATCAAAAGATACGTGTTCTGTTCGTCTACTATAAGCACAAATAAACAGACATTAAAATTACAGGGATTCTTGGAAAACCTCAGGAGGACAAAGGGTAGAATATACAAAATAAAAACAGGAGGAGAGAACCAGTCTCATGGGCCCTTAGAGGGCGGGAACCAGCCGAGGTTCAGGTTCTGCTCCGGTTCTTTCTGTGCATCACAGACAACCTTTAGTTTTTTTTCTTTTTGTTTTCCAGCTCAAAGCAGCTGAACAGTCCAAACTGCTCAGATCTGAGTCCGTGTTCGCTCCAGCAGCCTAAGGTGGGAGGATATCCACGCTTTCAATGGGGAGCAGTCTGTTGGTGTGTGTGTGAGAGGAGCTCAGCCTAGCAGTTGATGGAGGCGCAGTCCGCTTTAGCTTTCCCAGCAGAGGCGATGATGCTCATGAGGCAGTGTCCGAACTCCTCCAGGATCATCCTCTCTGCTTCTGCCTGAGGCTGACGGGTCTGATCCGCCCGCTTGGCCTGCTCCAGTAAACACTCGCACGTCGCTTCAAGCACCTCCTTTGTTACGAACGTGTACGGAAGCCTGCAGCAGAAACACAAACAACATCTTTAAGGAAACCTGGAGGGAAGATTTCTTCCTAAATCTCCAATGTTTATGCAGCAAAGATCAACTGATTCATTAGTACGCTAAGCAGTCAGGCATGAATGGCTGCTCCCTCCATTAGCTGTCCATTATTGTTTAGTCTGATGTATTTAAAGATTCATTTTATATTTAACACTTTCGTCAGGTTTGGAACCATTGTATTTTAACACATAACTGAATAAAAAAAATCTGCTTTAAGAAGCAGGAGCACATAACTGGGATCAGGACAATATAAAAATAATCCATATTGGCTTTAATAAACCTGCATTGGTTGATCTTCTTTAAAGAGTAAAGCGGATCCCAATATTTTCCAGCATTTAAAAAAATAAATAAATAAATATTGGAGCCAAATCTGTGTATTTTTTGTTTCTTTTTATTTTTTTTTGTTTGTTTGTGATCACTAGATGGGGCTGTCGGCTCCAGTATATAAATGAAGAGATGACAGGTAATTGACAGGTGTTTTTGACCGCTGTGGCGGAGTCGTTGTTATTCCTGTGGCCGTGCATTGTGGAATAAATGATTTGCTGCACAAAATGGTTCATCTGGCTGGAACAATTTTTGTACTGCAAGAAGATCGTTTGAATCACGTTTACACGCGATCGACAGGTACGTTAGCCGCTAGGCGCGTCATAACAAGCAGCAACGGATCAACGCAAAATAGTGCAGTGTGAAACTGACTATTATAAAAAATGTTTTTTTCTCATTTATTTACATAGAAATGTTTCAGATTCTTCCAAAAAAGTTTAAAAAAAAACAATCCACTGGACTTTGTCACCAAGTCTGAAGAGAATTGAATAGCAAAAGCTTCCTGGATGGGAAGTGAAATGTCTTCAAACTTGGAAACAAATAATTGTTTTTTAGCTTTATTGAAACTCTTTAGAGTAGTTTTGCTTTTAGGGAGATGTTTTTGTAACCAGAGGGTGTTTTTCATTTAAGATAAGCAGGTCTCCTCTCTACTGTTCCTGTCAGTGCTGAGGGAAGCAGGTCTCCTTTCTGTCAGATAATGATGGTAAAACAGTTGCTTTCACATCAAGTCCGTAAACTGACAAAAAAAAAAAAAAAATAGAAAAGTTTCTGGATTTTAAAGCTATTATCTCTAATAGCTTTTTCTGTGCACTGTTGTCTCTATTTCTCCTTCACTACCAAGAGCTGTGCACTGTATCTGACAGTTTGCTTCGTAAACTGAAAGACAGCAAGAGACACAGGAGCTCGCTGTGTTGGTTTTACAAAATTTAGAAAACTTAATTTAAACATTTCAAGATATTTAAATTCACTTTATACTGAGGTTATGATTAGTGGACTAATATAATATGTGCTTAACATTGTTTTAACTTTATTTTCTATTCACTCTGAAGGTGTGGTGGCTTTTATTTTGCCATCATCAGCTACCTTTTTACCTTCTTACATCACTGATGCTGTGCAGTCACTAAACAAACACTAAAAACACTAAAATTTGAAAGAAAAAAAAATAGATA